TTATACTGAAAAGAGGAACTAGAGGTTTTGGCTCTGTGTGCTGCATAATACTAGGGCATAGCCACTGATCGCTGGGGGCTATCATCAGTGCTACATGTCCATACAGCTCAAAAGGAACAGCTATCAGTCGCCTCTAGAGTGCAAAAAGAGACAGAGGCACATGCAGGGCTTTCAACATACCCTTCTTTCACTGAAGTTTACACACAGGAGAGGCTCTGCTCCTGACAGTGGTACAAGTCCCCGACTTCACTGGGAGCTGAGCAGGACTGGCAGAACATTGGCCTCGATCCTTTACATTTTCTTAAAAGCTTGAATGAGAAGACATGGTGCTAGCACTCTACAATGTTTAATACTGGACACAGTTCATCAAGTCCTTGTATGAAAACACATTTTCTGTCCTCTCTTTCACTCTTCCTTTCAGCATAGCTCCAGTAAAGCAAACTGTACAGAACACCTCTGCACAGGGAGCTGTTTCCCTGCTGGCACACCACAGTAACTCCAGACAGCATGCTTCACAAACACTATTGGCACAGTGTTTCCCAGAGTACACAAACCAAACTCACATTCAGCCTGTCCTGTGTAAGACTACTCCTAAACGCAACAAACAGGACAATAATACTTGTTTAGAGTCTGAGCAGCTACTCTGAAATACAGGAATTGGAAAAGAAATACTAAATAATAAGAGTTTGTGCAAGTGGTGTTCAATCTTACACTTCAACATGCAGAAAAGAACCAGTGGTTACCCCTATTTTACTGGCGGGGACACTGAGGCACAGAGAAGCTAAGGAACTCATCTAAATTGGGGGAAAAAAAAAAAAAAAAATTACAGAACCAGAAACAGGACGAGTTTTTATACGGGTTTAAAATTTGTGAGTTTGTTGGGTGTGAAGTGTGATTTCAGCACTCCTCTGAAGAAATAAGATCATACTTCTTGATGATAAATCAACTGCAAAACCTCTCAGCAATTTCCTAACTTACTCCTGAATCCTGATGGGGGGTGCACAGATCCACACTTGGGCCTGATCCAACCGCCAGAGTCCTTCAAATCATCACATTTCTGCTTCTTGCCAACTGGCTGGGCATAACTGACTGGATGTTAACTGTTAGAAGTACCTCCTTAAGTATAAAAAGGAATTATTACTGGTTCCATTTTGAGGCCTTCTCATTATCACGTTCTGGATGAATTAGAGATTGCAATGAGTATGGACTTATTGCCAATGAAAGCATAGATAAACATGCAAAGAAATCTGTACTCTGCTCAGTGCCCAACCATTTTGCTTTAAAAAACAGAATAAACAAACCCAAAGCAGGCAGAGACAGGAACAGGCCCAGAAAAAGTCAGGACAGTGGGAATTGAAAAGAAAGAGCCAAAGGCCACAGGGAAAGTACAGGGATAGAAGCAGTATACGGTTAAAAGAAGGGAATATGAACAAGATCCAGAGTAGGAAAAAATACAGGAACCCAAAGTTGTCTTTAAATGGCCCACCTTTCTGGAGCCCTGTGGTGAACTGACCCATTCATTGCTAGAATGAACACTCCCATTTAGCCATGCTGGGGGAGAGAGACAGGAAAGAACATGTCAGCACCGGGATCACCTCATCCCATGATTCAGCAGTAAAGGAACCTTCTGACTTTTTCGTTTGGATTAAAAACATATTGGAACGGTCAAAGGCAAAGCAACAGCACAGGCTACCCTTGGAGTCAAAGCAGGGAAAAAAAACAGGTGCATCATAAACTTTAATGAAAATGCCCTTGAAGAGTATGATTCAGACCTGAAATTCAAATGCCATTTTTGAAGGGCTAGACACATGTAGTACCACCTCTATCAAAGACAGGGCCATGGCGAAATTCAGCATTGGATTTCAAAGCCTGAGAAAGGAGAGGAACTGTATGACCAAAATTTTAAACTGGGCTTCTCTCTGAAGAATAAAATCTTAGGCATGCTACTTTTAATATGGTAAGATTCATAATATAAACAATGAACTACTTCCAAAATCATCTGCTGCTTCTACAAAGACATCTGTATGCTCACCCTTTCTGAGTATCAACAGAGAAAGAAACTGCTGTGCCTGGCATGAGAGGGAAAGCCCCTACCAGAGGGAGGTTTGAGTCAGGTGCCAATGCTGCAGGGCCAGGCTCCTCTCTAAGGTACCCTCTGCAGTCTGTGACAGCTTTATTATTGCCAAGGAATATCATAATTGCTGCTGAGGCTCTTACCACTTGACAGCGAGGTTCTGTACTTCCCCATTTTTGTCCTCCAGCAATTTCAAAAGCATTTTCACCACTTTTTTTTCACTGTCTTCATCTAGTTTTATTGAATCTTTCTGCAGTTCCATCATCAGGTCGTTCGTGGCCATAAACCTGAAAAAACATATAGCAGAAGTGGATTGGCTGATATATAGACACAAATCCGTTTCCTTCATGTCACTTTGCACAACGAAACATGACTATTAGTGCTGGTATGAAAACACATTTTCAAAGAGTAACTGACAACCCTTTACACTGTCCTGAAAAAGAAGGTACAAAGAATTACTACTATCTTACAAGTGCAAAACTCAGATAGAGGTAGCTGGTGAAAAGGCTTTAGCTAAGGAATCTGTGAAAATGAGAAATACATGTTCTCTCCTCTCCTTAAAATACGTAACAGAGATCAGGTAAACTAAAACTCTAAAACTGGCACACGGCTTGTGTATTTTTTCTCAGTGACTAAATCAAGATGGTTAACTATGCTAGAAAAAGTCATGGTGGGTTTTTTTCACCAATTGGCCAGCCTAGAAAAACCAGTCTAGTGTCTAGGCACGTACCTGGCTCTACTCTTTCTGGCTTATTTAGCACTGATAGTATGATCCCACACCTCGAGAAGGCCTATCAAGCTCAAAAATTAAAAACGAAGTCATGACTCCGCGCAAATTATACCTTAGAAGTTCCCTAGGCTATATTTAGATTGCAATGAGCAAAACCAAGCAAGTATTTATCATTCCAGCTTAGAAGGAAAGACAAACTCCCAGCTGACTGTTAGTCGATATAACTGACAACGTCAAATGGATATTAAGAAGTTCTGGAACAGATCTATTTTCCTGGAAGCAGGAAATGTAAAAGGTGCTAGTACAGAAATCTGAGGTTCTCAGAAATCTTATGTGTGGTTATCATCTATTAGCTGCTTTCTAACGTTAGCTCCAGCACAGGGATGGATGGCTGAGAGGAACCACGGAGAAGCTCTTCCCTCTTTTACCAAATGACACCTCCATTTTAAATTAGGCTCTGATGTAATTCATTCAGCATGTAAGAGCCCCCGTGTACCAGCGCAACATTTGTGTCTTCGATCTGCAAGCCCCTTCGTGAGCAGCAACTAGGTACATCTGGATGGAGTGACTGCTGTGGTGTTAAGATAGCCAGCCTGAAATCCAAAATTAGAAAAATAGAGGGACTCTGCACTGTAATGTTAACAACATGCAACCTATTTTTGATTGTGCAAGAGCCGTTAAGCTGCACTTGCAGTTCAACGTCTGCGTAGAACAAGCATGACCAATTATGGCCACAGGCTGAGCAGTCTTCTGCGGCAACACATCCAGCTTTTGACTCGCTACCTGCTGCTGTCCTGCCCACAGGACCTCAGAAACTGGCAGACGGATCCATTTATGAGAGGGATGCACGTGAAACCTGGTCCTGTAACTGGTCATGCAACTGAAGACAGACAACAGGCTCAGGTCTGACTGTGTGCTGGGAGGAAATGGCCCTGGGATACCTCTGTAACCTGACACATGCCCTGTGTTGGGCAAGTCTTGTTTGGAGTATTAACTGTAAATTCTTTGAACAAACTGTCTGTGCAACTACTCCCTCAGTAACTTGTTTAAGAAGTACCTAATTATGTTAACATCAGAAAAATGTCAGCAGCCTCTGCAAAAATCAACCTATTTTTAGGATATTACTAGCCCCTCCCTTCTAAAAGACCCCAAAATATCAAGTCTAGCACAAGCATTACCTTCCAGGTTGACACTGAAAGGTATGCTTGTGGGTGAAATCTTTCATACTTGTTAGTTTTAACAATTTTTTATAGAGCGCCTTAAGTATCAAGACACCCGCTCCGACCTTAAAAAGACATCAATTTTTTCTGCTGACATACAGAGAATAAAAGAATCTTGGTCCTGTTAGGGAGGCCTATATTCCCATTGCACAGAAATAGTTCTTAAAGGCATCTGAGCACAGCCAGTATCTGCAGCGTCCATCACCTGGGTGACACGGCTGCTCAGACTGCCGTCCCTCAGCCTGTTCCATGCACCGACCATCTAACCTTCTAGCAGAAAAACAAACGAAGACGTACTTCAGCATTTTTGCTACTGCGGTCTTAATTTGCAAAACAAATTTAAAGTCTAGCTGTCGAGACTTTCATTCCCTCTTCCACGTTGCTCGCTCACTACCATTCTGCAGCAAGCTAGGCAGGGGAGGGGAACGCTGCTGGTTTCTCTGCGTTCCCCCCGCTCCGCCAGAAGAGCGCGGCTGGCTTGAAATATTGCAAATCAAACGGGCATTTTTCCTCAGGGGCGGAAAGATCCTGCCCCCGCCCCCCAGCCCCGCAGCAGGGCCGCGGCAGCGGTGCCCCCCGCGCGAAGGGCAGCCCCCCGCCCCGGCCCCGCACCTGAAGTCCTTGTCTGTGGAGGTCATCTTCTCCAGCAGGCTGGAGATGTGGTAGGAGACGCTGGCCATGGCGGCGGCGGGGCTGCGCGGGAAGATGGCGGCGGGGGGCCGGGGTCGCGCCGCCGCCCGCTCCCCTCAGCGCCGCCGGCCGGGCGCCCTCCCCAGGCGGCGACAGGCGGCCGGGCCCCGCTGCTCGGCGGGCAGGGCGGCGCAGCCCGGCCGCGGCGCTCGGGGCGGGCGGAGGGAGCGCTCAGGGCAGCCCCGGCCCGCCCCCCCGCGCCCCGCCCGCGGCGAGGCCCGCCCGCGGAAACCGGGCGCCGCAGGCCGAGCCGCGGGAGCTCCCAACGCCCGCCCCCGGAACCTCGGCGCCGGCGGAACCTCGGCGCGCAGGCAGGCGGGCGGGGCCGCGCGGGTGCCGGACCGCCGTGCCACGTCTGAGCAGCGCGGCCGCAGGGCGGGCAGGGCCGCTCGCTGCCGCCGCCATGGTAGGCCCGGGCCCGGGGCCGGGGGCGGTGGTGGTGGTGTGCCCGGGGCTCGGCTCCAGCGCAGCCGGGCTCGGCCCCGGGGCCCGCGGCGCAGGGCGGAACGCGCCCGGCTGCTGCTCGGTGGCGGCCCCGGTGGGCGCCGCCTCCCCCGGCGGCCTGCTGGGGCCGGCCCGGCCGCGCCGGGGGTCGGGGCCGGGCAAGCCGAGGTGCCGGGCGCTCCGGGGTGCCGGGGCCGGGTTCTCCGGGGTGCCGGGGCCGGGCACAGCGGCCAGGCCTCGGTGTGCTTGTTCTTGTGTCTCTTCCTCCCTCCGCAGGTCTCGGTAATTAACACCGTGGACACCTCTCATGAGGACATGATAGTAAGTGCGCTGGCGGGGGGCTGTTCTCTGCGCGCTCTCTCGTTTAACAGAACTACGGTACAGCGCTTCCTCACGGGGGGGGGGGTGAAGGGCGCGGTGGAAATGCCTGTAGAAAACAATGCACGTTGGGTATTAGATGGAGAATGCCGTCTGAAATTCTGATTGCGCTATTTTGTACCGTGCGGACAGGAAAACGTAGCTACCGGGGAAGGGAAAATGACTTAAAACTTTAATTCTCATACCTAGGCTTGTTTCGCCTCATTTCTGTGAAACAGCATGTATGCATATACAAAACAGAACAGCTTCAGCAGATGAAACTGATTTTCCTTTATGCAGATGTGTCCGGGAGCAGATGCATGAGTATGGATAGGGGAAAACATTTCAGAGTAATTTGTAGAAGCAAGGAGCCCAGTTAGATAATGAAGTTTCAAATGTAAATAAGAGGTGTCGGTATTCTTACACCTACTTTACGTATTAAGAAACAAAAACATGTAACTGGTGAAGACGTTCTAGTCAGTGGCATTCATTTCCTGTCCTCTCCTGAAAATGCTGTGCATTGTTGCTCTGAATTCTCTAAATTACGTCTGCGTAACATTGGTATAGTTAGTGGAAACAGCAAGTGGGGAAATAAATTACTTCAGTGGCTTGTCTGGATCGTTGAAAAACTATCCATTTTAACCTGTTGTGTCAGGACTCTGTCCTCTGTTCATAATCCTTACAGCTACTTTTAAAATGCAAAAAGATTTGATAACAAAGTGGAACTCTGGTGCGCTGACAGCAGCTTTTTCATCGCCTTGCAGCACGATGCTCAGATGGATTACTATGGCACTCGGTTAGCAACCTGTTCTTCAGACAGATCCGTGAAAATCTTTGATGTTCGGAATGGAGGGCAAATCCTCATTGCAGACCTGAGAGGGTAAAGTGTTGTAAACATAAGATTTTAATCTGTGGAAATTTTTACTATTTTGTCGTTTTGCCCTTTGGTAACATAAGATGCATGGTAAATTCCCCCAAGGTAAAATAATTACTCTGGCTGGTTGTTGCTAAATGACTCTTCAGAGCTGTGAGGGGGGACAGAGAGCCACTTAGAAATAACACTGGGATTTCTTCATTCATTAAATACTTGACACCTATCATTTTCAAGAAGTAAACTCACAAGCTTAATTGCTAATATGAGGATACATGTTTGGAATTGTTTTCGATGGCAGTGGCTTTGTCTGACAGTCCTGTATACTGTTTCTCATCTTGGCATTACTCGTTCTTCATATCACTGCATTCATCACTTACAGAACACTGATTTACAATAATGATGGCTGTGAAACAGCCACAACCGGAGTGGGGTTTCTCTCAGCTTTTCCAAATAGCACTGTTTCTTGCAGGCATGAGGGTCCCGTGTGGCAGGTTGCCTGGGCTCATCCTATGTATGGAAATATCTTGGCTTCCTGTTCCTATGACAGGAAGGTTATTATCTGGAAGGAAGAAAATGGAACTTGGGAAAAGACTTATGAGTACACAGGGCATGATTCCTCAGGTACGTGGGGTGTGGAGCTGGGAAGTGAGGCTGGGGGGTATGAGAGGACTCGGTAAGATTGGAGTAAATCCATCTGTTAAAGAAGAAAGCCTCTACCAAACAGATAGGCATAAGGTAGTGGAGAGACAGCAAATCTATTCAGCATAAACAGAACAGTTACCTAAGGTCATATTGCTGGGTAACCTCCTGCCCTGATTCATATGATGTTTGTGTAGGAGTAGTTTCACTAATAAACCAGCTTTTAAATAAACAAGATGGTAGGATACTTAATTCTTGAGGAAAAAATTGTACGTATCCACTACAGGGAGGAAAAAGGTGGATTTTAGCATGCTGCATTTTGTTTTACAATGGAAACTGTTTTGTTCAGATTATTGGTCCTCCTACATGCAGATCTGAGAAGTCTCCAGCTTTGCTTTATTACTAATCTAGAGTTTAAATACCGTGTCTGCCATTCAGCTTTTGTCCTAGAGTCAGCAGTACTCTTCACTGGGGCCCGGGAGAGTCTGAGTCTTTAATCTCTCATTAAGAGTGCTCTTCTCATTTCAAAAGGGTGCCAAAAATACAGGCAGTTTTCTGTCATTCAGTAAGCAATGTTAATTGACTGGCTTTGCTGAAATTCAAGAATGCTGAGACTTATTCTTAGCTTTCGAAGCTGCTCACTTTTAGTGACTATTTTGCCAATATTAGTCAGTGACTTGGTTAGTCAATCTGAGGTAGTCACTGTGGCGTGATCCAGTCTGTCTCGCCCTTCACAGTGAATTCTGTCTGCTGGGCACCGCATGACTATGGATTGATCCTGGCCTGCGGGAGCTCTGATGGGGCCATTTCGTTACTGAGCTACACGGGTGACGGGCAGTGGGAAGTGAAGAAGATCAGCAATGCACACACGGTAAGTCTGTTCCTTTGGAGCAGCACGCAGTTCTTGGAGCTACAAACACTGAGTTGATGCCTCAAAGAACTTGGAGACTAGATAAATACTGAAATACAGTGAAATTATATGAAACAGTTTCCAGAATCAAGAATAACTTGTTTTAAATTAATCCAGCGTGCTATACCATCATCACTAAAATGAAGCAGAAAACAAGACCTGTGAAGCACTGATAATCCCCATTTATTAAGCATTATTGTTAAACACAGTGCTGGAAGTTACGTGGTAGGAAATGGCTTTGATATTAAGAACACCTGTATAAACCAAAGCTGGAAAAACTGCAGGACTCGTGTTTTTCCCAAAATAGTGGGGATTTTTGCTTAAGTAGAACTTCCTTAGCTAATGACAGTGGCTTTCAATAAAAGGAATTAGGCTCTGGACCACAGGTCCCTTCTACTAGTGCATTCCTAAATCTTAGCAACCATGTATGTCTTGCGTCTTTTCAGATTATCAAATCTGTCTCCACTGTTTACATATCCAAGATGGTATTTGCACATTAAACAGTTACTTAGCTACCTAAAGCTTTCTAAGTGCCTTACTGAGATTAGACTGTATCTGGACCTCTTACTCATCTGATACCCATCCAGCATTATGCAAGACTCCTATTTTCCTAAGATGGGCTTATCCCATGCCCCACACCACCAACAGAAAATATGCTAGGTGTCCCTTGCCCATTCAGCAGCTTTTATTTATTTATTTAAAGTAAGCAATTTTTAATAAGTATATTTTTTCATTAATTAGATTGGATGTAATGCAGTTAGCTGGGCTCCTGCTGTTGTACCAGGAAGCCTTATAGAACAACCATCTGGTCAAAAACCAAACTACATCAAAAGATTTGCATCTGGTGGCTGTGACAACCTTGTCAAGATCTGGAAGTAAGTGCTCTGTTTCCAGACTTAAGAACTTATAAAACCCGATACCCTTTATGGTCTTTGAAAGTCCCCGTTAGTATCTCAGGTAATATTTTCAGCGTCTCTATGCTTTCATCTTTGAATTCTCGTTTTAGAGAAGTGCTCTAAAAATTAAGACAATTTCGTGATGTATGATCTCTCACATGGCTATAGCAATTTGTGTCAGCCCTGCTTCATCTGTCTTGGAAAGTGGCTTTCTAATTGTGATTACCACTGTCACTTGGACAATAGTGGATTTCTGTACAGCAACTGAAGATCCCATACTCTTTGCCCATGCTGCTTTCTGTCTCCTGGAAGGGATTTTGTCAGTTTAAGCCACAGAGCTTTCTGGAGAAGAGTGGGAACACTTGTGCTTTGTATTATTTGGATAAACGAGGAGTCTGAAAGCTACCAAAGCCTTCCAGAACACGAGATAAGAAATATGACTGGCTACTGCTGCTGCCACTCTTCTGACTGTATAAATGTGTTTTCAGGGAAGAAGATGGTCAGTGGAAAGAAGAGCAGAAGCTGGAGGCTCATAGTGACTGGGTTCGAGATGTAGCCTGGGCTCCATCCATAGGTTTGCCAACAAGTACCATTGCTAGCTGCTCACAGGTGAGGCTTCTGCTGGAGTGACAGAGGCAGGCGCTCAGTGTCCTTGCTTCCATTTACTTCCTTCCCCTTTTCTCTAGTAAAGAAATAGTAAGGATAGAATTGCTGTAACAGGCCCTCTTGGCAATCCTTTGCTGTATCTGCGTCTGGGCATAAGAGCCTCTGATTCGTGTTCCTCCCAAACTCAGAAGCTCAATAGAAGGATTTCTGGACACAGGTTTGTGTGTGTGTGGCCATGTACCAAAGACTACCTTTTATTTTGAAAATCATGAGCAGGATGGTCTCACTATGAGGAAGACCTTGGAACAAACATTGTTTTTCAATGCCTCTGGATCAGATTTACTGAACTTCCAGCTGAAAATACTGTTTTCTAATAACTGGCATTCTTAATCAGGTCTGATGTCCTCAGCCTTCATATTGGCTATAGGGTTCTTGCTGCTAATAATTCTGCAAATGCTTTTTTTTTATATCACAAAGACTACTTGGTAAACTGCTAGCTTGCTGTCACATGACTGGAAAGCAAAACCTCATTTTGAGGAAGAAATTTCAGCTGATTATGTATGTATTTTGGGAGGTTTTCTCTGGTGCTTGCAAGTCACCTTTTGTATGTAGTTTTTCTCATCAAGAGAGTTGTACTCCTGTCTTGCTTTCAGCTACAGTGAGAAAACAGCCCCTTTGCTGTTCTGAGAAAAAAATCCATGTAGACACACCTAGGGTTCATGTCGGAGCTGTGATTTGGAAGTGCAGCCATAAATGCACTCAAGGTTGTTTTTTCAGTGTTGTAACTAGTGGTCCAACCAACTCTGCTTGCTTTTGTAGGATGGCAGAGTGTTTATCTGGACATGTGATGATGCCTCTGGAAATTCATGGTCACCAAAGTTGCTGCACAAATTCAATGATGTTGTCTGGCATGTGAGTTGGTCCATTACTGCAAATATTCTTGCAGTGTCTGGAGGAGACAATAAAGTGAGTACTGCTGCCTCGGCTTTTACTCCTGCATGCCACATTTTCAGAAGAGCTGCAATGAGGCAGGCTGTTGTCACTCTTGCTTAAGACGAGACTGTTGCAGATTATCCTTTGCTGCAATGGTGAAATTTTTTCTTTTGACCTATGAAGAGGGGAGGAAGACTCTAACCTTTGTCAAACTACTTGCACTGCATTCCCAGTCCTTACTGGAGATTAGAAATGCAGGCTTAACTTTATTTTGTAGAGTACTAACAACTATTCACATACTCTACCATGGGATTATTATTCAGCATACAGCAACAAATAACATGATACTTAGAACAGCGCTGCAACGCTTGACTTCTGTAACTACAGACTACCACCAAATTAGTGATGTGATAGGAAATGGGAAGCCAGGAATGTATTAAGGCTGAAACTTTCTCTTGGTCTGTTTTTGAGGTCACACTGTGGAAGGAATCAGTAGACGGACTGTGGGCATGTATCAGCGATGTCAACAAGGGCCAAGGAGGGGTGTCTGCCGTTACAGAGGGGCAGCAGAACGAGCAGTGACGCATGAGTGGATGTTCCAGCTGCAACAAGTGATCACTGTACCTGATTCGCAATGTTTCTTGAACCGGATGAGAACTGATTTTATCTAAACTGGATATGACCATGGGAAACAATTATCCAATTTTATGAGCACTCTCTAACTATTAGTGGGAGGTTACAATATGTTGGTAATCAGCCTTAATTGACATTCCTTTAAATTTAAGGCAAAGAGCAGAGCAAAGTACTGTGCCTCGTACTACTCCTTGATGCTATAGGAACTGTACCCTGCTTTTCTGGTTCAGGGATCACATTTAAGTGGATTATGCTGTGGTCAGACTTCGAGCACATGAGTAGAAACAGGATGAGGTTATCAGAGTGGTGAGGTGTGAACTCCTTGGTGTAAGGGGACAACTCTCTCCTTTCAAAGGCCAAGACTTTGTTTCAAGTGAGGGGAATGGCAGGTGGAGTTTTAAGCATTAGATGATAGCATGTGAGCTAGTCCTTCTGAAGTGGTGCTTAGATCTTCCTGAAAACTATGTGCTTGGATTACTGAAAGTCTCTGTGCTTTCCTGAAGATGAAAAGGAGTAGTGGAATGCATATGTCTCTTGCTTTACAATAGTCTCAAACTTTGTTATAAATCAAACTGTAATTTGAATTTTTTTTTTTTTAGCCACCCTTCTGTACTGTACCTCAGGTTTGGGGTTTTTTTTGAGATACCAACAGATTAAAGTCCTATTGGTTAAAGCCCAGTGTGCTGTATTTAATAACCTTTTCACAGGGGCCTCGTCAAGGCTGTCTGCAGTCAAGCCATAGTCAGGTTGTCCTCTTATCCCTGGTATTAGCTTTGCAAGAGCTGGGAAGTATGTAGTGTAAGAAAGAACAACGCTTTGCCTTCAGTTAAACTTATATGCCATTGCACTTCAGGGAAGTTTATTAGGCTCATACAAACCACCTGACAGCATGCCTTCAGCTAAAAGCTGAAGCACTCTTCCCCTCCTGCAAGAGCAAAAGTACTTAACTAAAATGTTGTATTTTCTCTTTATTCTTCAGGTGCACTAAAGCAACATAAGTGAACAATTCACAGCCTTCCTCTTCCTCCAGGGTAGTGTTCCTAGGCATGCTCTTTGGGCATAGTCAAGATAATATACCTCCTTTTCTAGAAAAACAAACCTTGTTTTATGATAGTTATCTATACTAACCAAATAATACCCTAGTTGCTCTCACAGAAACACATACATGAATTCTCTTTCTATATACCAACAGAAGCATGCAACATTTCTGTTCTTGTTTAAATGCACTATAGCCTTACCCCTCAAAAATGAATCAACTCATCTAGAAATCAGCATTACATTCAAACAGTTCCATTTCAAATTATACAGCAAAGCACCAGTTTCTTTCAAGCTGTTTCCCATTTCTACTAAAATCAGAATTATAACTGCTAAGCTGAAAAGGCAGCCTTTTGTTCCCAGGACCATACCCACTTGCTCTTGGATAGAGAGCACCTGGTCACCTACAAGGGTTTTGGGTTGGCTTGAACTGCTCTGGAAACTATACAGACTTAAAATCAAGCACATTAGCTCCAATGAAAGGGCTCAAAAATGAATCCTCAGTTATCTTTTACCACACTATATTCTAAGGAAAAAGAGCACTAGCTCCTTAACTACGCAACGGAAGTTTTTGCCTGTGGAGGTATTAAGTTCCACAATTCACCATGTTAAAAGTTATCCTTATATTTTAAGTATTAAAACTCTTAAGAATTCAAACCTACTTAGCAGCAAGGCCCAGTTCAGGTTGTTATTCCTTCATACTTAGGATGAAATTTATGGAAATGGTTTCAAGTAATGATCAAAGTATTCCCAACAATTATAACTGATAAAAGGTTATTTAAGAGTTACACAGTTTATTCATTGCAAATATAGGTATTAGGTAAAAGTTTTTCAGTTGCTCTTGAGAATAAGGTTCATGTTTTTGGATCTCTACTGCCCTCCTTCTCATACTTGGGTTCAGGACTGGCAAAAGAAAGAGAATATAGTCAACATAAGTTTCATACTGAAGAACTTAAAGTTGCTACTCAGTCTAACACCAACATGGTCTCTCCTGTGCCCACAGTGCACCATAGTTCTCTTTCACTACCTAGCTTGAGAAGGAGAAAAGTTTGCATCTTGGGATGACTGAAAGGAGCTTCCATGTAAGAAATGTAAATTTAGCATACAATCTGCTTGTTAAATTTATGAAGTTTCTGGCATGTCTCCTACCGATACACTGGTAACTAGGCTGTCTTTAATGGCAAATGTCACCTGAAAGTTGGAAAACAAAGCAAGCCCACTGTTCTGTACCATAGCCTATCTAAATTCCTACCTTACACTTCTGTTTTCTTCACTACTTGGGGAGTGCTGACAGGCCCTAATAAAACAAAAGATGCTGATCCAGAGACCAAGCTCCTGGAAGCCAAGAGGGACACGTTTCCCTGTGTTGGGAACCCAGACATAGCGTGAATCTGGGGCCAGCCCAGGACAAAACAGAGCGTGCTGTGAAAATGCAAGGGGCTTCTGCTACCTTACTGGTACTGGTAGGATCCAGAAGCTCTGCCTGCTGTCGAATGTTCTTAACAAGCCCTCCGATAAAAAACAAGGTGAAGATTAACCCAGATAGAGTTTCTTAACCTAGCTTTGTTGCAACCTTATCACAGTTAATAGCTTCCTCAGTTTTACCAATTCAGCTGATATCAGACACATTTCAGAAGTGATTTTCTTTCACTACTTGGATCATTTCACAAATCTGATTCAGAGCTTCACTGCACAATGTTTGAAATAATCAAGCAGAAAGCCACAACATGAGACATGGAAAGAGGAAAGCTCTTAAATCATGTTTGCAGAAGAAAAAAGAATGGAATTGCATCCCCATATAAAGCCAGTTTTCCAAATCCACAGACATTCTGAAGATGCAACATCTTACTTGGCCAGAGCACAGTTAAGATGGTTATAAATGGCTTCATGTTACATTTTCTCCAACAGCAAATCTGATTTCACTAAATTCCTCCTCATCTTGCCATCTCTGCATATTGCCCATGCCTTTCTCAATCCTACTGCTGGAAGTTTCTGTGGCTGCTGTGCAAAATAGATCCTACAAATTAACCGTGTCATTCAAGTCAAAGTCGAATACAAGCAACAGCAGTTGCAAATTTGTCGTCCTTCATCATATATTCCTTATTTTCTCCTTTCTCAATTAAAAAAAAATATAAAATTCCTGATTTCTCTTCATGGGATTTTTCTAGACCCTCAGTCATTGCTACCAATGTTCACTGAAGTTTTAAAAATTTGTTAGCATTCTGTTTTCAGAGTAATAGAAGCAAAGTTTCCTTGGTATCATTTTCAATTTCAGTCTTCCAACAAAATCTGATAAAACAGAACCTAGGAGAGAATACAGAAGAGAAGGAATGCACTTAAAGGCAAAAATGAGAAGCAAGGCTGTCACCACAGGTCAGGAAGGAATAGAGCTCAGCTTCTCCATTTCTGTTACACCACCTCAGATAAAAAGGGTTTGGGGCTTTTCCTTTTTGAAAAATGTTACAGATATTAAATAATTTTTAAAGAGAGCAATGTTAATGCCATAGGAAAAAGGGAAACTCTCACCTCATTCCCTACACAATTTCATTATACATAAAACCAAGCACAGCAACAGATCTATGCACTGTTTTTACTTTTCTGTTGATTTTGTTATCTTACAAGCAGACCAAGTTTCCAAGGATTTAAATACACATCAGATTGCATTTCCAGGAATACTGTCGTGAAGAACAAATATTCCACCCAATATATAAAGCATTTCAGAAAGCAGCTGTTTGGTGAAGCCACAAAACTAACCAGGTAAGGTTTCAGAACGTTTTCAGCTTTTGCTGGTTTTCCTGTGTAATTCTTCTCTACTAACTTGTCTGTTCAAGTTACTATATCTTAGTTATAGAAGAAAACACAGTAAGCAATAGTCTCTTTTTGAACAGGGTATTTTTACCTTTCACATGTAAAAATTATTTGCTTTATACATCCATCTTTAGAAATAATTTCAGGTCATTCAAGTCAGGAGAAATATTTTCACTGGACCTGGATTCGATTAAATACAAAGGTTGTAAAATATGTTTATTTTTTCAACCTATGTTTTCAGGTTTGACACCCTGCCTTAGCGAGATAATCATGTTTCTCAGAAGTACTCTGCTGGCAACTACTCTTTTCAGCATCCTCTGGACAGAAACTACTTTGGCTGGCTCCAGTTTTTTAAGCCCTGAATATAAGAAACTAAAGGTAAAAAAAATTAGAAAAATACTTTCTCAAGATTATCCTCCTCTATAAGTCCTTAAAACCAGTATTATTTATAGCATTCAGAAGATATAATTTCTGGAAGAGTAAGTTATTCCAGAGAACTTCTGTAACAAACCATTAGCATTGTATTCATGCTATGAGAATATGTATCTAAATCACTAAGAATTAATCTGAAAAAAGAACAATTGAAGAGAAAGCATTCATTTAAATACCTTGTTGGCATCTTCTCTAGAAATTAGCTGGAAGGTGCTTGTTCTTTAATGAGCCCTTAAACCAAATATCTATTAAAGTGAATGCAGCAATGATAGTACCATTATTATAGACCTACATATGCCTTCAGCTAATTTTCTGCATCTGTGTTAATTATAGGTTCTAATTTCCCCACTACAGATGAGTTTGATTATGGAAAGAACATACAGATACTATTTTTGCTTTCTTTCTAGCAACAACAGGATCCAAAACAAACCACAGCACAATTACATCGTCGAGGTACAGAAGGCTTTTGGGATACAGATGAAGCAGGGGCAGTTGATGACAGAAACAACATTGAAATTAAGGTTTGTATTTATTTTTCTCGCTCACATACAAGTTTAAGGGGTGGGATCGAGTAATACAATTTCTGTCACAGGAGGCAGTACAAATTAAAACTACAATCATATTTAACTTAAAATGCAAATAGGAAAGGGCACATGAAAACTGCTAGCATTGATGGTATGAAATGATGTAAAATTAGCTGCAGTAATTCAGATCATAATCTCCTATTTAGGATTCACTTACATTTCAGAACTAACTTATAATAATGCGAGTTTCTTGTAAAGTTTTCTTTCCTCCAGTTTATTGTGCACTTTGGTCTGCAGTAACAGTGCACCCTGTTTCTGAGATTTTGATTACATGTCTCAGCACTAATAAGTGAATAGCTGTAATAACTTTTTATGCCTCTTGCTCATCATCATTCCCAGGAATAAAATTAACTTGTCTGTTAAACTCTGTCTTTTAATGTTTTTATAGTTTAATGTTCCCTTTGAAATCAGTGTCAAGATAACAGAAGAAGAGTATCAAGAATATGGACAAGCACTGGAGAAGATGCTAAGGGACATGCTTGAAGAGAATGCTAAAGGTACTGCCAACCAAGTCATAAAAGCAGAGCTTAAAATAAAAAACAAACCAAACCAAACACCCCCCCCCAAAAAAACACCAAAAATACCAACACCACAAACCAAGCTACTTTTGTATTCTCATTTGTCATGCAAGACATTCAGAGCAGCACTTCAGAAGTTACTGGGACTAAGTTACCACTAAGACAACCACTAAAGTATCTGATGTTCAGAAACTGCTAGTTGAACTGTGAAGAATCCCATTAAAGTGTATGAGGCAAAAGGGAAAGGCTTCCTTTCCTTACACTATCAGTCTTTTTTTTTTTTTCCCCTTGTCCTCAAATCCCAGCATTTCCTTGTTTTCTCAGCTAAGACCTTCACAATTTTCATGGTGAAAACTATTAAAAACATGATTGTAACTAAGGTAGTTCTAGTAGATCCACAAACTAAAGTTCTAATGCCCAAGTCCCACCACAAGCTGTCTCATGTTTACCTTTCCAGCCTGTTGTACTTTATTTGCACTCACCGGTGTTAATGCTTATCTCTATGAATCTTCTGTATTAATGTTTATGTCAGTCTCAATATCTGCATAACATGTTCCAACCACAAATCGCTTCATGCTTCTGCTTTCACCCTGCTTTTCAAGCTCCTAAGACTTCCTCCAAGCTCCTCTCTCCATTTTCCTCTGAATTCCTTCCACAGGGCTACTTCTATGGCCGTTACACAAACAAGACTCTTACACATATATGCCTGTATAAAATGTAACTATGTGAAAGCCACCTTATCTTCTGCCTTTGGTTGAGCAGTTGTAGAACTGTTAGACAGATTATCAAAACAGGATTTTCAGAAAAATATTAAGACTGTCAAAATAATCTTTATCTTTTGCCTTTTTAGAAACTCAGATGAAAAACTGAGGCAAGAAGAAGGACAAAGACAGCACTAGCTGGCCTGATTTGTTTTAAATTTTAATTTAAAATGAAATTATTATTGATTTCACAACTCTAAAGAAGTATGTAAACCTGAACAGTTGGACCTGACAGACTTTGGAATGGATTTTCTTTTAAGGAAAAATACAAGACCTAGAGCCAAAAATAATACAGGACAAGGTTCATCACAGGCTGACGTAGGCTTATTTTATTTTATCTCTTTTCCTTACTAAATATAGTGATTATTCTAAATTATGTGTTTGAAGGCTGTATGAATCCTTTCTAAAATTGGTGGAAACCTCTTCTAACACTTCTATATACATCTACAATAGAGAATAAAGCTTATGCTGAAACTGCAATTGCTTGTGGCATTTTTTTGTTTGTTTAAGAGTAGCTCAGACGAGATAGTTCATATTATAAACTACACAAACTAGACGGACAAGGACTCAATTTTCAGTTGCCAATTTAGCTTAACTGCCAAGTGATTTGTTAATATGGATCTTACCAAGGAAGCCATCTAATATCTTGTCCAGTTAAAAAAAAAAAAAAAAAAAAAAAAAAGGCAAATGAGTTTTCCAGTTAACTTGCTTGGATTCAAAACCATGTCCATACTGGAGCATACATCAGAGTTACAAGGTAATTTTTCATGTCTTCAGATGCATAAACCAGTATGCACCAATGTAGCACATGTTCTTTTCTCTACCTCAGTCTGTACAGACATCTGATAATCCATGAACATCTTCTAGAATTACATCCTGAAGACATTCTATGAAGTACTCTTCAACAGGCTAATGCAATAAATATAAATACAACTGCAATCTTTATTAGACATATTATCTTTTCCTGTCACAGGACTAATCTCCTAAATGAAGCCCCTTTGATGCCACTAGCACCATCTTGTGCTGTACTCGACCAGAAGGTGAATGAGAAGTGAAGGAGGAAACGAATTAAAAAGGAGTAAACGATTCTTAGGAGACTAGCCCAGGGGAAGGATGTGACCAGACACTCTTTGAAACCTGCAGGAGCATTAAGAAAGGGAAGAGTCAGAAAGAGCACTGAAGTCACATTTATTACGCTGACCTCTAACCGTCACTTCCACGACAAATCTACTGCTTGTGTTATTTTTATATTTAATGTTTTCCAAGCATATGCTTTGGAAACAGCCAGTAAGCTGCCCAACAGTACAGGAAGGAAACTGTCAGCCAGAAATACAGCATAAATCCTTTCTTAAAATAAGAAGCACTGTAGTTAGAATTGCTGTTTCTAGAATTCTGACACAGGTTGTACAGGATACAGTCTACTCGCTGAGAAGAAAAATTATGGCTAAGCTAGTCTACAGAACAAGAACTGAGGCACAGGCTATTGTGTTGCTTATGCAGTTTATAAAGCAGAACATTCTAAGGTTGTCTTAAAAAAAAAAAAAAAAAGAAAGGGCAACAGAAAAACCCCCAACAATGTTTCCTGGTGATCTACAGAAAAACCCGTGGACCTATAAATGTGCGCAGTGTTTTCTTCTCTGCAAATATGACATCAACCTCAAGAGGGTACTATAACCTAGTAGTGCACATTGATCATAAGGACAAAATAGGGCTTGGGTGCTTTTTAACCTGCCTACTAGAAACTGATGCTCCCTATTTTCTTCCAAGTATTCTGCTGAGAGGTATTTTTTTTGTACAGTCTCTCTTGCGTTGAAGGCAGACGAATAAGCAAAGCGGCGAGTTCCACAGAAGCGCTCCAGGAATGGTTCTATGACACTGCCAGTAAAGCAATGCCCAAAGAGCAGAGCACTGGACTAGCGTGATTACAACTTGACTGCATCCACAACTTCCCTGGGCAGCCTGCTGCAGTGTCTCACCACTCTCACCATAAAAAATTTCTTTCTTATATCTAATGTAAATCTGCCCTCTTTTAGTTTAAAACCATGATCACTTGTCCTATCACCACATCCACAGAAGGCAGTTAGCACCTAATTCCAACAGTTTAAAGTGTCTAATATATTAAAGGATCCTTGTATATTGAGGCAGAAGTGATTTAATTCACTATTTCTGGTGTATAATTATTTGTCCATCTCTAGACTTTCCTTAGAATGTGTACATTGTGGAATACATACCATTTTCAATGCAAAAATTATTCTTAAGTACCAACTATTCAGGACACTTTTTAAAATTAAAACTTTATACAAAATTTTATTTGCTCTATCATCTCTTTCCATCTCAGTTGCAAATCAAATGGAAAAAAGAATCAAAATTTCAGTAAAACACTTTCAAGAACAGTAAGCTGCATGATTATCAGAATTAGCTGGCACACAGGTATCTGGGTTGGCATCAATGAACTACACTAGCATCAGTCAATGAAAAATTCCCCAAATTCTTCTTTTTGTCCATATCGACATGAGTTTAAAAAGAAAAGGCAATCTCAGCTCTTCCTGTGATTATACTGCCCAGGGTGTGCTCATGTGGTACAATTTGCCCTGGTACAGGAAAATAAAATAACCCATGTTATTCCAATGATCTCTGCTCTAGGATGTTTCCAAAACTGTGCAATCTATTTGAAAAAATAAGCTAGATCTCCACCCTCTGACACAGTACAGATAATTTCAAAACTGGCATTCTTATTATCGTATTTCTTAGTTGTTTTTTACTTCAATGTCATTGCTAACAGAAGCTAGGTAATTACCTGGGTATTCGCTACGATTGGTTATCCTAACCCAAATACTGCATACAATGAACGCCAAGAAGGTGACTTAGCTGAGATGCAAAGAATTATTTAACAACAACAAAACCCCTACAATCAAAAACCAAAGTAAAAGCATGTTGGTTTTTATTTTCTCTGCCAACTTGGATCCAGTTTCTATTTACTTGGTAATAATGTTTCCAATAAAGTCAAGAACTTCATCAAACCCATCTTTCTCCTCAGATTTCAGCAACCAAAAGGAATGGATTCTTGCAGGGTTGAAAAGCAAAACAACCCCTAAAACAATATTCCTTTATGCACTCAGTAACAGTATGACAAAGCACCCTTATGTGACCTAAAGCTATCCACAAAGTTACACAAGTATTTGATTAGGACATTAAATTTAATTTGGATGGGAGGAGGAAAGGGAAGAGCATACTTCTGTATTAGTCCCCAGTCATTCACCCAGACTTCTCTAACCAAAAGCTATTTTGGGGACTGGTCACCATTCCAGTATTACATAAGTGCCCACAGCTAAGACTTTTTGCATTCTGCAGTTGCATATGCTTATTTCTTTGTGGTTCAGTATTACTAATAACTTAAGATAATGAATGAAACATATTTAAAAAAAAAAAAAAAAAAATCACTTTAGGAAAAGACAAATGCAGTCACCACAGGAGTCACCTTCAGCTGTAATTGATCTGCCTAAATTGAAAAGAATGCAGTAATACTTTTGTATTCCAAAACCTTTAAGTACAAGTTGTCTTCTTCCACTAATTTAAGATGATTAGTCACTTGTGAAAACAAAATAAGGTGACTAATTAAGCTATAGTTAACCTATTTCCTATGCAAAAAAAAAATAATTATAGTAATCATACTAATCACATAAAAGAAATTACAATCAACAGTCTCTCAAAATAAGATGCTAGTATTTTATGAATTTAAGTGTTTAATTCTTTATAGATAAAGGAAGTAGAAAATATCCAGTCATTTCAATTGTAATAGTTCCACAATCCAAAGAATGATGTAATGCTTTTCTGGTGTTTTTTTTTTTTTTTTTTTTTTTTTTTTTTCCCCCCCCCCTTTTCCTATAGTAGTACATCACTAGACTGGGCTTTACAAAACCAGGAAACTCCTAAATTAAGAAACCAACTAAAGCCATCTCTTCCTCTTAATTTAAATTTTTCCAGAAAGATTCTAACAATTAAGTTCCTCAAAATATTTCAACACATCCATTCAACAAAGACATACTCACCACCCTTTTTTTCTTTTTTGGTTCATCCCCAAATGCAAACTTGGAGCTGCCTCTTCAGAGACAGTGCTTCCACAAGGCACGGGGGTGTCTCTCACAGTCACTCTGAACAATGGTGGGACAGCAGCAGGTTCGTTCACCTGCTTCTGTCTGTCTGAACACAGCTGCAACTGCTGGCCACCTTCAAGTTTTGGAAGAAATGGATCTTTCTTGAGGTGCAACCAAGTTTACAAGACTCTTTCTACGCTGTGGGCTATCAGCCTGAGCTTCACCTGGGGGAGCCACCTCCTTTCTGACAGCTCCCAAGGCTGAGCGAGTGCCTTACAGCACCTTACTGTGGTTCACTGATGCTTGTTTTCTTCTTCCTGTGATCTCCAACCCGCTGTTCTCTCAAGTCACACTTACTTTCTCTTCTTTGCACGATATTTACCACATCACACTCAGGTTTATTTTCAAGCTAGATAATAAATGAAAAAGTCTGTTTGTTAGTAACATGTTTAAGCAGTTTTGAACAACTAAACAGACAGTATGTGAGGGGGAAAAACAACCTAAAGGATGAGAACTTTTCCCCCCCTCCCAAGAAAGGGCAAAGTGCTATAAAACTGCAGCTAGCCAGTATGGTAACTGGAAATGGAGTAGCCTGATTCCCTACAGTTTTGGTCTCATCATACTTACTCTTACAATAAAACACATCAGTATTTGTCTACCCAAATGCAAGTATTAAATGACCATCAGACATCACGGGACACTAAATGAGATTCGGACACCATTATGGAATTATACAGATTAAAAAAGGAAAAGGGTAAATAGTTGAAGAGAATATAATTGGTTTTGGCCAACAAAAACCACAAACTCTATGTATGTTATGCTTTCATTACCTCACTTGTTAATACAAAAGTCTGCCTTTTAGAAAGCCTGAGAGTCTATAGAAAGCAACCAACTACAGCAAGCAAAGAAAAAAAAAAAAAAACAAAACCAAAAAACTCTGCTGCAACAAAGGACTTTTACATCAGCTTTATAACTAAAAGTGAAGTACTTCCTCAATCCGTTATCTTCATTCCTGCAGTTTGTTGCAAGATCAGGAAGTCAAGATTTGAAAGACTTCCATGAAGAAACATTACCTCATAACTAAAAATAGGAGTGACAGGAACAACTCTAGAAGTCTTTAAAGTAAGTGAACAAATGACATCAGATTGCTCTCCAATAGTTACTAACTGGTGAAAAATGAAATGATGACAGAAGTTGCATTTACATGTGCTTACCTGTAGACTTGTTGTCAAAAAACAGAACTCAAGACTACAAGGTATCACTGATTAAAGTTTTGTGGGACTGAATGATGGCAAACAATAACACTACATACTTATATACATATATATATATTTGAAAATTATGACTAAATCTTTGGGCATTTAGACACAGGTAACAATTAATTGATAGGGTTTAGGAAAAATTTTATCACAGATAAAAATTTAAAGCATTAGCATTGTTTGCTCTTGGCATGAGGGTGTCAGGCAAGCCAAGTCTGACCTTGGCTCGCTCTTTGGTTCAATTTAGTTTCAGTTCCCAGGGGGAACATAGCAGTGCCAGATTCCCTCTTATTCTTTTACAGAAACAACTTTAATCATCGTAAGGGAATAAAGAACATGAACACGTTCCCATACTTTGCAAGTTGTTTTTAAAACCGACGCTTGCCAGTACTCTATGAGAAGTACTAGAAACGTGACAGCCGGACACATAAAATTTGTCAACCAGGATGCAATCAACTTTCATTTGCTTTCTGCGGATGTCCCACTTCCAATCACTACACTAAAACCCAGCCAACAAAGAGCACGTTGTTGCAGGACAAACCTCTGTCACTCCACCCCAACCCAAGCCTGGAGAGAAAAAAAAAAAAAAAAAAAAATCAGGTGCTTTTACTACTGCTATTGTAGCAGCGGTATGCCTGCACTCACCTCCTGCGCTCTGGCTCTTCCAGCCAGGAAGAGCACTTGCTTTTTAAAGCAACTCCCTCTGTCATCCTGAAGCGCTAAGTTTGCTGCTGGAAGAGGCCCTCCAGGCCGGCTCCCCCCAGAGGCCCGGCGCACAGGGACGCCCCGCAACGCGCAGCCCCCGCGGCGGGGCATCCTGCCGCACGGTCTCGCTGCGCAGCCCCGGGGGTGTTTGTTTGTCTGTCTCCCGGGGGTGTTTGTCTCCCGGGGGTGTTTGTCTCCCGGGGGTGTCCCACGGGCAGCGGGTGATACCCGGGGGGAGCCCTGACGCCTCTCAGGCCGCCGGCCCCGCTCCCGGGGCGGCAGTAACACCGCCGCGGCCAGCGGGGAGGCGGCCCCTTAGGCGACAGCCCCTCCCCCGAAGGCGGGACCTCGGGGCCAGCCCTGGAGCCGATTGGGCGGCCTCCAGCCGCTGCTGTCATCGATTGGCTGTGCCGGGGAAAGGCGGGAAGGGCGCCCCGCCCCGCGGCTCCCTCAGCCCCGCAGGCAGCCCGCCTCGCAGGACAGGGTCAGTGGGAGCGGGGCGGGCAGAGGTGGGCTGTGGGGGGCGTGGGTGGGCTGCGGGGTCCGCGGCTGTGGGGGGCGTGGGTGGGCTGCGGGGTCCGCGGCTGTGGGGTGCGTGGGTTGCGGGATCCAGGGCAGCCGCAGGCTCTGGGCTCGGCCCGCAGCTGTGAGGGCGCGGCCTCCCGCCTCTGCCGCGGGGCGGGAAGCACAGGGAAGGCGCTTGAGGAGCGGCCTGGGGTCTCCCGAGGGCGTTCGTACCAAGCCTACTTTCAGCAGGACAGGCCTTATTAATTAGAGGACTTGTGAGAGAAAAAAAGATATTTGTATCACATGGGAATGCTGCAAAAGCCACATAGATTATACTGTATGAATTACTGCAGGTGAGGGACATCAGGTTGGTGTGCAAAGCAGCACACAAAATACAAAATACGCATCTGATCATACACAACCTGGTGCGCGGGGATGAGCATGTCACCAGGGAGAACTGTTATTACTAGTTTAGCTGTGCAGTCGTGCCGTTTGCTCCTTTCCCGGCCTGCCCAACAGCCTCCCACAAGTGCAAACACTGACTCTTCTGTGGGGCTCCGCAGCTCCTTCCGCCCTCTCTGCTGAGCCTCTCGCACAGCTGCGGATCAGGGCTGCTCACCACCGGGTCAATACATGACAAGCACTCCATGAGTACCTTAAGGTTTTCCAGAGAGTCAACAGCTTTGCATAGGTAACGCTGTAGTTGTTTGCTCTGAGTGATAATACTCTCCTGTAGCAATCATCTTGAAATACATATTTGAATTTTTCAACTGCAGGTTCAAGTTATAAACACAAAAAGATTCTACTTAATGTGTATAGATCAATGTCATGTGTTGTTGGGCTGTCCTTGTACAATTGCTTTACTGGAATGCTTGAAGGTGTAGTCCAGGCTTTCAATTTAGGGAAGTTTACCAATTACTTTAACAAATGGCAGCAACTGTATAAGAAATAGCACGAAGAAATACAATTCATCAAATGTTGGGAAATGCGTCTATTTCACTGTTGTCTGAAAAAAAACCAAACCCTAGCACATGTTGGAAGCTGTATATTTCATAGCATAGACATTTAATTTTTATATACAAAAATGTTCTAGTTCAAAGGACACATAAGATACAGTCTGGTTACAGAAAAATTTGCTAGTTTGTTACATAGCAATTAGTAACCTGGAAAACTGCAATGCAGGTTTCTTTACGCTCTATGTATATTAAATGCTGCCTTGGTTTTGCTGGTAGACACGATGTTACCATGTTCATATTTATTTGTTGGAGAATGGCTCAGAGACAAGGGTCCTGTGCCTTTAGCCAGTAGATTGTAAGCCTGCATGCCTGAGTTGTGCCTTGTCATGTATTAAGAAAATCTTTGAATGAACGTTGGCGCAGGCTCTGCTCATACAAAAAGAAAAAGGGGGAATTGTTGGAGAATGGCTCGGAGACAGGGGTCCTGAGCCCACCGAGCAGTTGTACGATCAGAGCCTGCTCTAGCTGCTGATGCTGAGCCTCACTAGGGTTTGCCTGTAGCTGCTCGCAGCTGCTGATACAGGAGGAATGTCAAGGACGCTTCAGCCCTGTGTACCGTGGTGTGTCGAAAACAGGTTAAGGGGAATTAGGAATAGTGGTCTGAGAAACCCAGTGTTATGATAACGGTGGTCTGAGAAACATTGTGTTACGGTACTGTCGTGTATCGAAAACAAGTCAAAAGGAATCAGAAATAGTGGCCTGAGAAACTTAGTGTTATGAGAAGCTTGTGCTGTAAGCTAACTGCAAGTAGGTGGACCGTGCGAATACGACCCTTAGAGCTTAAGCCAATCACCTAGTGACTAGTAGGCATAATAATTATCATTGTCTGTATAAATATATGTACCCTGGGCCAATAAACAGACACGTTGATTGATGCTCTGTCTTCCACATTGAACCCGTCTCGGCGTGTCGTTCGTCCGCGGCTCCGCATTTATTCACATTATTAAAATGAAACATACAAGAAAAAACAGAATAATGTTTCAATGAACTGATGATTCTTACTGTTAATCAACAATAGAGGATGATGTTCAGCCTCTAGGTTTTAACAGCACCTTTGGGAGATGCTAAGCTCCAAACTAGTTTTACTTACACAGTTCTATAGTTATATTTCTTAAAAAAATATATATTCTGTGCCCTTATTCTAGTGTTCATGGATAAAACAAAAGCGGAGCTGTCCTTCATTTTTGAAAAAGAGCTACAGTGTCTTAAGGATAAAGGATAGTATAGATCGTGTATCTAAACAACAATAAAAGCTATATCTCAGTAATCCTTATAATTATTAATTTTAGAGTGAAATTTTTCTCTAGGGACATTGCAAAGGAAAAAAAAAATCAGCTATTTAACAGTGAATGAAGACTGAATAAACATGTTTGTACTGATAATTACCAATGATTAACTGTGTGCAAAGAGACCTTGAGCTACGTTCCTAGGAACACAAATTTACATAAACAGGGTAGATCGAGACACAGTTTTCTGTGCCATAAAGCGTGAAAAAGCATGCTATAAGGGATTTTTTTTCAGGTTTTTTATTCACAAATGTATTAGTAAATGGTAATATATACATTTGCCAAGTTGAAATTAAAACATACATTATACTGAATAGCCAAGTTGTGTAACTGAATACTATTATTGTAAGGCTATGCAGTGTCTTATATGTTACATTATATACCTATATAACTCTACAAGACCATGTATATCACCTCAGAACATTTTAAAACATGGAACATGGCAAAGAATAACAATTTAATTTTGTGACTACAGGAAAACAAACCTTCAAAACATTTTTGGGAACCAGAACTGTGTCTAAATTGTGTTTCTCAATTTAAAAAACTTAGGTCTTCCATTCAGTTCTGGGGTGTGTCTACGTGCATTCCTTCCTGGAGGAGACCCGAGGTATTTACCATGGATCTCCCAAAATACACTCATGAAAACCAATGAATATTGAACTTTTAGCACCATAAAGTGTCTCAATTAAATCTCACATTTAGCAGTTTTTGACCAATCTGAACATACTCAATGTTTCTTATGCCAGTACCAACATTTTTTTGGTTTGATTTTGATAAAATTAAAAAACCGACACTGGCAAATATATAAACAGTATCCAAGGGACTTTTAATTCAGGAATTTTACCAATTTTTAGTGTAGAAATTAATTTGATAAATGTGTAGATGATTCTAATGCTTGGGTCTCTAGTTAAAATACTTTTACTTGCTCATAATAGTACCTGCAATGAACTAAGTACTATACAACTATAGAAGATTTGAGGCCTTGCTAGGAGAACTATAGCATTACACAATTCCAATTTAAAGGAATTACATATAAATTCATATTTTTTTAAAATATTCCCTGAGCTTGTGAATTTTAGCCATTTTATCTATGCCCTATATCCTATTATCCCCTATTATTATTACTTAGCCCTATTATCTATGCTAAGTAGGCATCAGTCACCTCTCCACAAGCTGAGCTACATGTTCAGATAGTTCTTTTTGTTTATTATAAACCTGTATTTCCTTAGACTGCCCAAGAGTGGAATATACTAACAATATTACAAATAATAAATAGTCATAACAATAAAAGTGATGGTTTCTTAAAGGGGGCTTTCACTTGATAATAAATGACAGCATACAAATTTCTACTTTTTTTCTTTTAAGCGTGATCACCGAGGCTGACCCCAAAGCTGCTAATGCTGGCTAAGCCAAGAGACACACAAAATGATTCCTCTCTGAGAATACGCGGTGAGTGTGGCACCATGAACAGGTCCACTTACTAGCTCATCTTTCACTGATTATTTAACCAATTGCCAAAATAAATATAACAAACCAAATTTCAAGTGACCTATAACAAAATTAAAAGATACTTTAAATTAAAATCTTGTCCCTAATCCAAAACATACACCAATTACCAAGTGAAACACAATGAGAAACCTTAACAACATGTAAAGGACACTTAGAAAAACTTAGCTTCCAAAAATACTCTTATGAAGTATTAAACACTGAGAACTCCTGACAGTGAAGCTTAAAGGTTAGACTTCAAATGGTGTCATACGTATATATGTAGTAAAGCAGCTCATAAAGTACACTAACATGGCTTAAATTATTTACTTACAACTATGTTCAGTGCAATTCAAATTGAGATTGAGTCACGTAGAATACATCTGAGAACTTGCCTGAAAATTCCCCTCTCTGGTAAAGCAGTGGTTTTGAGATGTGAACTAAGATTACATGGAACAGTATAGATTTGAAAACTGAAACCTACTCCAATGTCTCCAAAGGTTTCTGTCTGCTGGTACACAGTGGGATAACAATAAAGGGTATTGCTAACAGGTTGCTGATCAGTGCTTGCCATAGAACTTCTAGGACTGTGTTCTTTGATAAGACATACATTATATGTTGATGCTTTCTGAAATATACAGCAAAAGGATCATAAATTATTTTGGCAATTGTTTGTGTTTGCTGTATCTTTTTACATTGCAGATGAAAAGGAAGAAGGCATTTCTATTTAGAGAGTAGCATTCTGCTTTAATCTGCTTTAGAACAGATATTTTCTGTTTCTTCTCAGTGTGATCACTTTTGTTTTCTTCAGTCAGGGCTAATGTTTCTGATCCAGATCTGCTCCATAACCTTACATGAGAGGTACACTTTTACCGTCTTTCTAATGAAGAGACAGTTCTTATTTCTTCTTCTGAGCTGGCCACTGCTAATAAATCCATCCAATTTATGATTCAAAAAGTTCAGAACTGTTTAATTTGTCTTCTTCATACAGCAAAATATTTTCCATGA